CCTGGCCTCAAGTGATTCTCCCACATCGGCCACCCAAAGTGCTAGGATTATAGATGTGAGCCACCACCCCTGACTTGTATGCATTCTTATTCAATATATAGAACTACCTACTTTACAGGTGAGAAAATATAGATAAAAAGGACACCCTTTCAAAGTATACAGGTGTAAACACCAGAAGAAAGATTTGAACGGCACTCATATTACATCCATACCACAGACCTCCTAAGTCTGAGAAATACTCACGTCCCCACGAGGGGCACCCATAGGTCTTTAAACAGCCAAAAATAACAGAGATGAGGAAGAAAAAGACTGAAACCAGGTGAGGTCTGAAAACACCATCTCAAGTGACCTTGGAAACAAAGAATATGGTAGTCCCCTCCACTCAGCTGAGATTTTGTTTTCTGCAGTTTTGCTTTCCTTGGTATCAGTTACCTGTGGTCAACCGAAGTAACAGCAAAACTCTTAAATGGAACATTTCAGAAATAAACAATTCATAGGTTTCAAATTGCATGCCGTTCAGAGTAGCATGAAGAAGTATCTGGCTGTCCAGCCTGGGGTGTGAATCACCACTTTGTCCAGCACATCCATACGCTATATACACTGCCTGCCCAGAAGTCACTCAGTAGCCATCTTGGTTATCAGATCAACTGCGGCAGTACTGGGTCTATTTCGTTACAAGTTATTGTTGTGAATCTCTTATCGTATGTAATTTACAAATTAAACTTTATCATAGGTATGTACGTACAGAGAAAAGATCGTAGAGATAGGGCTCGATACTGTCTGTGGTTTCAGGCATGAGTGGGGGTCTTGGAACATATCCCTTGAGGATAAGGAGGGACTACTGTGCTCTGAACAAGAGCACCTGAATTCCTTCCACAGAATTATACCCTGCCTGCCCACAGTCCCCTTTCTAGAGATCTCTGCTTTCAAGGGGCACCTTACCTGTTAATACCAGTCCTGCCTCCTAATGTAAGAAGTTGGTGTGAAAGTGCAGTGTAGATAAAACAGCACAATCATTAGATACTTACCCTTGGGGCACTCACACACACAGATGCATGCGCACACACATAGACACACAACTCTGCTGAGAATAACCCACTTGGAATAACCCTTGATAGTTTGATAGGAGGAAGCTAACCTCCTTCACTGACAAAAACCAATGCCAGGAAGAAACTGTAAAATACTATTTACCACTTCATGACACCCTGATTATCTGAAAGACTATCATCTAAAATAATCTATGTATTACTCAGGCAGGCTCCTGAGTGGCCATATTCACCTATGAACCTAACTCCATGGGGCATACCCTTAAAGATTAAAAGAAGGAGTATGATTTACAGGAACTCTTCTGGAACCTGCTAGAATTTAAATATACCCTAAATCTCCAATAACAAGCCAAAAAAGAACTTTCCTATTACATATAAGACTAGTCTCCTAAGACAAAGTTACGTTGGAGTCTTTAAATGCCCGTGGCTGCATAAGAAATCAGCTTGTCAAATGTTCACTTTAAAAGAAAAAGCAATGGGATAAGAATAAAGCATATTTTCCCTCTCGGAAGCTGAGGTCAATTTGAGTAAGACACAATCTCCAAGGAAGGAGGGGTGGACTTGGAAGTTTGTTTAGATCTTTTCTGATTCTTCTCGTTCTACAGTTACAATTCTACAGTTCAGAGAAGCAGCCTAATTTCTGCATTCTTCTGCCAGATTCAACTATTCACACTAAGCGAAAGAGAGATTTTAAAAAACAAAGGTATGTCATGGAAAAATAATTTGAGCATTTTGGGAGGCTAAGGCAGGCGGATCGCTTAAGCCCAGGAGTTTCAAGACCTGGTCAACATGGCAAAACCCCATCTCTACCCCCCCACCCCAAAAAAAGTGCAAAAATTATCCAAGTAGCCAGGCGTGGTGGCTCATGCCTGCAGTCTCAGCTACTCAGGAGGCGGAGGTGGAGAATGGCGTGAACCCGGGAAGCAGAGGTTGCAGTAAGCCGAGATGGCGCCACTGCACTCCAGCCCAGGCAACAGAGTGAGACCCTGTCTCAAAAACAGAAATAAGAAAAAAAATTGACTACAGAAAAAGCCAGAAAATATTTTCCTAACTTCTCCACTTTCGGGCATCTGTCCTAAGGAAACAAATCCATGGCTTACGTTATCACTGTGCGTTCCTCCAGGGGTGCACTGGATAGCGTGTTAGGACACCAGGCCCAGCGGAACTCTCCCGCTGCACACCAGCTTGCTTTTGCAGAGTAGAGAAGCTGTTGGGCCTTTCTGTATCCCCTTCCTTCCACTCAGATATGGGCTACGGCAGAAGCACGGAGAACAACTTTTGATGCAGTTTCTGTCTAAAACTCTGGGTAAAAGTTCAGATGGCCGAACAGAGAAATGTGTATCATCTACATCTAAGATATCTCCCATGTCAACACAAAAATCATACTTGGATTGAGGTTTTCACAAAAGCATTTAAAGCCAAGGAAGCCCACCCTATCTCTCATCCTTCCTATGCTTTGCCGAAACTTCCAACGCCTTTGGGTGCTTATCTCCCTACTCACGATGCCACACCTTTCTGGGTTTTCCTTCAGATGTGCTGCTTTTGTCACACACCACCCCAAGACCTGCCATGTACATCATCCATCACTCTGCATGGAATCTGCTAGAATTATAAACAAACTGTCCACACCCTGACCTCTTCACTGAACGTTCTCTGAACTTCCCCTTCAACAGCTCTGGTTCTCTGCCAAATATACCACACTCAAGTGGGTGAAGCTCATTCTCTCACTACCTGGGGCCCTGGAAAAAAGAGGGTAAATATTTTTCTAAACTCCTCCCTACCACTAGGTGGTGATTCTCCCACCATGCTTTCCAAAGCTAATCTCTGCTCCAACATCTCTCCTTTTAATGCCCTCTTTATTAGCACTTCATTACTCTTAGTAGCAAATAACCGTCTTCTAAGTGACAGACACAAACAAACATCGTCATTGGATAAAAATCCCTTTGGATTCCTGCCCCCAAGCTATAAAAAGTACCTACACCCAGACCTTCCTTTCCTTCCTACCACCTATCTCGATGGAAGAGGTGTTTCTTCCTAACAAACTATCAAAGGTTATTGCAAGTGTGCAATATTCTCTTCTCCCTCCATCATCCCCACAGAGTAAATTTAATTAACCCCATATGGCATCTACATATTCCACAAGCAAATACAATTCTCTTAAGTTTCATATACTTATGAATATAGTGATATGTAATATATATGTTGTATGTATTACAGTATATATATGTGTGTGTATAGATATATAGATATAGATATAGATATAGATATAGATATAGATATTCCCCCTTGCCTTGATCCATTAATACCCTCTAGTTATCTAAGTAACATGTATTCATTTTTTTTTTTTTGAGATGGAGTCTTGCTCTGTTGCCCAGACTAGAGTGCAGTGGTGTGATCTCAGCTCACTGCAACCTCCACCTCCTGGGTTCAAGTGATTCTCCTGCCTCAGTCTCCCAAGTATCTGGGATTACAGGCGCCTGCCACCATGCTTGGCTAATTTTTTGTGTTTTTAATAGAGATGAGGTTTCACCATGTTGGCCAGGCTGGTCTTGAACTCCTGACCTCAGGTGATCCACCCATCTCGGCCTCCAAAAGTGCTTCGATTATAGGTGTTAGCCACCACACCTGACCCATGACCAGGATTTTCAAAACACTAGTCAGCTCTTACGATGTCCTTGTATTCAATTCTTGACACACTATTCTCTGATTTCTACTCTACTAACAATGCTCAGTGCTTACCAAGAGCATCCATGTGGCCAAGCCCCAGGAAAACTTATCTGTCTTATCTAGATTGACCTTACTAGCAATGTGAACACAGTCTATGATGAACCTTTTATAAAAATGTTCTCTTCCTTTGATTTCTTTGTCAATCTCTAGTTCACTGATTTTCTCCTACCCTTTGTTCATTCCAGCTTACCTCTTTCTTCCTCTGTTCATGCCTTAAGTATTGCTGTTTTGCAGGACTCTAATCTTGGCCCTATGCTCATCTTATTATTTTTTTTTGAGACAGAGTTTCACTCTTGTTACCCAGGCTGGAGTGCAATGGCGCGATCTCGGCTCACCGCAACCTCCACCTCCTGGGTTCAGGCAATTCTCCTGCCTCAGCCGCCTGAGTAGCTGGGATTACAGGCACGCGCCACGATGCCCAGCTAATTTTTTGTATTTTTAGTAGAGACGGGGTTTCACCATGTTGACCAGGATGGTCTCGATCTCTTGACCTCGTGATCCACCCGCCTCAGCCTCCCAAAGTGCTGGGATTACAGGCGTGAGCCACCGCACCCGGCCTGTGCTCGTCTTATTGTTTGAGCTTCATGTTGAAGACTATTCAAATCTAAGAGCTTCACCTACACTTGATCTTGCTTCTAATTACCCATGTTCAGAAAGATCTCAACATTAATTCCCAGACCCACATATCTAATTGATTCCATTTAACTCTGTTGTTCTATGGATACTTTAACCCTCAACATGTTCCAAACTGACTCATCATTTTCCCTTCCAATGTGTTCATGTTCCTATAGTATTGTATTATTACATGAATTTCTCACTATCTATCTAGTTTACTCATCCAGAAACACAAGTCATCTACCCCCTCTTACACCCAACATCTAATGAGTCCAGGGATTCCTGTAGACTTTCTCAGCTTTAAATTGGTCCTCTTTTAATTTGTCCTCAAGTGAATTTGCTTGAGTTGTTAAAATAAACTCTGAATTAATCTCCCATTCTCTAAGCAAATGCTCTGTCTAATCCATTTTGTGTACAACTGCATGATACCAAATTGTACATACAGCAAAATTTTAAGTATATAAAATTCTCATAGTAATTGTCAAATATAGTCCATTTTATTCATAATATTTTTCTATATTTTCCAAATGTTCCACAAAAATCATGCATTTTTTAAGCAAAAAAAAATTCTACTATTTTATAACGTGAAAACAAATAGAAATGATATCATACCATGCATCAGTGGCATATCTAGAAGACAACACTCCTGTGTATGCTGAGACCTTGGAAATAACTCGCGTCGCTTGGTGTTGACATAAAGGCAAATCTTCTTGCTCCCTACTCTCAGCCACAGCAGGAAGGTCAATGAGCAAGCTAGGACTTTGGCCATCATTCGGGATCATGCCTGAAGATCAAATCCAGATGACAGTGAACACAAGAGGTATGCATTCTCTTTCAGTCATTCAACAACTAAGTATGCACACCTATTATGGGAGGGGACTCTTCCAGGTAGGAAAATGAAAATATTAAAGTAAATAAATAAAGGCTTCAGTATATCAGATAATGATAAGTACAATGGTGAAAAATAAAGAAGGAAGGAGCATAGGAATTGTTCAACAGAGGATGTTCCAATTTTCAGTGGCCTTACTGAAAAAAATGACATTTATGCAATATTAATATTACTAACAAATCTAATCTTACTACAAATTTTTTCTTATCAACTAAGCTTTCCCAATAAGTACTGTGACATTTCACTGATTTAAAAAAAAATCCACAGAATAACAAATAAACCAAATAAAATCACTTCTATTTTTAAAAGAGCTTCGTTTATAAATTTCAGAATTATTTTACACTTGTTCTTATTTATTTATTTATTTATTTATTTATTTATTTATTTATTGAGACGGAGTCTTGCTCTGTTGCCCAGGCTGGAATGCAGTGGTGCAATTTCGGCTCACTGCAACCTCCACTTCCTGGGTTCATGCAATTCTCCCTGCCTCAGCCTCCTGAGTAGGTGGGACTATAGGCGTGGTGGTGCATGTAAAAATACAATAATTTTTGTATTTTTAATAGAAATGGAGTTTTGTCATGTTGGCCAGGCTGGTCTCGAACTCCTGACCTCAGCCTCCCAAAGTGCTGAGATTACAGGCATAAGCCACCGTGCCCAGCCTACACTTGTTCATTTAATTCTCACATCAAACTATGAGTTAGAAAGAAAAGATACTATCAACCATATTTTATAGATAGGAAAAGTAAGGTTAAGAAATTTGGCCAATGTTTTACCAGCAAGTAAAAGGTACAGATTGCCATAATTTATTTAAATATTTACAACAAACTTCCTAAAAAATTCTTACTAATTTTGATTTCTACTTAGGAGGATTCACATAATAAGCTTGAGAAGTTATGGTGGGGACAACATTTTTGGACTCTGCTTCTTATGTCCTTGCCAGGAGTATATTACACAATTATCATGTTAATTTAAAAAATTAAACACTAGTATTTTCTCCATATATATTCCCAAATAAACTAAAGAAAGTTCCTCTAGTCTCACCACAATAGATCATATGCAGATATATGTATATATAGTCAGCACAGTACAACTATCATATATAGGTGTCTGTGTGGGTATGTCCACATATGTTATCTATACACATCCTCACATACACACTGTATAAAGATAATGTCTAAGGTACAATACATAGGATTCAACACCGTGGTTATCTAAGGAGAGAAAGTTGGGCTGTGTTATAATGGTTTATTGTTTAAAAACAGAATAGCAGCCAGGCACAGGTGCTCACACCTGTAAATCCAGCACTCTGGGAGGTTGAACAGGTGGACTGCTTGTGCCCAAGAATTCAAGACTGGCTTGGGCAACATGGTGAAACTCCATTAGCCTGGCTTGGTGGAGCATGCCTGTAATCCCAGCTACTCGGGAGGTTGAGCAGGAGGCTCACTTGAGTCCGAGAGGATGATCACAGTAAGGCGTGATGTCACCACTGCACTCCAGCCCGGGCAACAGAGTGAGACCTTGTCTCAAAAACAAAAACAAAAGGAAAAAGAAATCCAGAAGCTCTGGGGTTGAGGGAGAAAGCTGAGAGGAGCCAGCTATGAGAGTAGACAGGTAGCATTTCATAGAAACTAGAAAAAATCTGGAAGACTATAAACCGAATCGCGTTTACCTCTGCAAACGATTTTTTATTTCTACTTTTTGTTTATCTGCATTATCTTGTTTATCCTCCAGGAACACACTTCATTGCTTTTTGTCACCAAGCATACAACCTCCTCAAGAACTTTGCATTTCTTGTTCTCTCAGCCATATCCCAAGTGTTTTCACACAAGGCTGGCTTCCTTTACTCAAGTGTCAGTCAAATGTCATCCTACTAAAACCGCCAAATCACTCCATATAAACAAAATAGGACTCCTCCTCAAAATTTCTGTTTTTACTGCTTTATTTTCCCAGAGTGCTGGGTTTACAGGCATGAGCACCTGTGCCTGGCCGATATTCTGTTTTTAAACAATAAACCATTATAACACAGCCCAATGTCCTCTCCATAGAAAACCACGGTGTTGAAGCCTATGTATTGTACCTCATGCATTATCTTTACGTAGTGTGTGTGTGAGGATATGTACAGACAATATATGTGGACATACCCACACAGATACCTATCTATGATAGTTATACTGTGCTTACTATATATACATATATCAACATATGATCTATTGTGGTGATTATATTACACATTCATTTGTCATTGTCTGCCCTCACCAGAACGTGGGCTCCATGAGGGCTGACTTTATTTTGTTCACTGCTCCACCCTCATGACCCAGAGCAGCATTCCTATACAGAAAGCACCTGGCAAACATTTCTGAACAAGCAAATACAAAACTTGCTTAATAAACCAACAATGAGTTTTTAAGTTTAAAAAATAATGAGTATACTGTTTTTCTAGGTAGAAAAACAAAGAAATATACAGCTGATGTCCTGATTAGAATGGAAGTTGCATCTATTGTGTATCCCACAATCCATTCTACAGAACATGTGTAACTTTGATAATCTCCTAAAGGAGCTATGAGACTTCCGATTAAATACCTTCAGTGATTTGGGAATGTCATTTATTCAAACGATAAAAACAGGGAACCTAAAATAATTGTGCCTAGTCAAACAAGGTAAATGACGAGCCTAGAACTGGGTCAGGTGCAATAGTTCACACCTGTAATCCCAGCAATTTGGGAGGCCGAAGCGGGCAGATCACCTGAGGTCAGGAGTTCAAGACCAGCCTGGCCAGCATGGTGAAACCCTGTCTCTACTAAAAATATAAAACTTAGCCAGGCATGTTGGCACACACCTCTAATCCCAGCTACTCGGGAGGCTGAGGCAGGAGAATCACTTAAACCCTGGGAGGCAGAAGTTGCAATGAGCTGAGATTGTGCCACTGCACTCCAGCCTGGGCAACAAAGAGAGATCTTGTATCAAAAAATAACCAATAAAATAAAATAAAATCTATCTAAATCTATCTAAATCTATCTACAAGGTATTGTGCAAAGCATAGGGAAACCTAAGGCACTATTTGTTCTCTATTTTCTAGAAAGACAGAGAAAAGCATGATGTTTGGAAGAGTTTAGCATGCACAGCTCAGTGCAGAGTGAAGAATACATAAAGCAGGCAGTGGAGACATCCAGGAGAGCCCAGCCGTGGGGACCTTGTATGCTGGGGAGGACCCTGAATTTCACCTGTCCGCTCAGAAGCCTTATCCTGCGGCCTATGGGGGCAGCTTCACAGGAACCACGAACCACAGTTAAAATAGGTTTTTGTTGTTGTTTTTATTTGAGACAGAGTCTCATTCTGTTGCCCAGGCTGGAAGTGCAATGGTGTGATCTAGGCTCACTACAACCTCCACCTCATGGGGTTCAAGAGATTCTCATGCCTCAGCCATCTGAGTAGCTGAGATTACATGTGTGCACCATCACACCCAGCTAATTTTTGTATTTTTAGTAGAGACAGGGTTTTGTCATGTTGGCCAGGTTGGTCTTGAACGCCTGACCTCAAGTGATCCGCCTGCCTTGGCCTCCCAAAGTGTTGGGATCACAGGTGTGAGCCACCATGGTGGCCAAAACAGTTTTTCCTGCAATGTATTTCTTTGAACACTATGTTCTTGGAAGAAAAACTATTTTAAAATATTACATATTATGTTATTAAAGTATGACTGAAAGCTCAAACGTGTGTAAGATGATGAAATACTATTGTACTGGGTTTAGTAATAATAACGTAGCTTTTATCCAAATGATAAGAAATCAAGTGTATACTCTTACCAAGATTGTGGACATCTATTTTCTGGTTTGCATACCTTTTATGGATTAAAAAAAATATCTGGTGGAGCTTAAACTAGAAAATGTTAACAAAGGGGACTCCATGCTCAGATCCCCTTCCGCGAACACTCCTTTTGTGGAAGCCGTCTTTCTCTCTCCTGGATTTCCCCTCTGGAGTCCTCTTCCACACTCTCTCGTGGAAGCCTGTCTTCCCCTCCTAAACTCCATCTCTCTCTATTCCCTTCCACTCAATGTGGAAGCTGCTTTCTTCTCCTGGATTCCATCTTTCTGCATTCTCTCACTTAGTGTGAGAGTTAGCTGTTTCTCTTTCCTTCCCATTTCTCTCTCTCTTTAAATAAATCACTTTCTACAAATATATATACACATACACACATACATATATGTATATATATGTATATATACGTATATGTGTGTATGTATGTATGTGTATATATATATATATATACATATATATATACACATATATATATAACAAAGAAGGAAGTTCTAATGCACCTTCTATGTTTTGTTTTGTTTCCCATCAAATAAATGTGAGAAGACACAAAACTTTAAGTATTTTACTTCTGTGGCTATCTGGGGAAGGAGCTGATGCTACAAAAATACCTTTAAGTGTATCCAACATTCTGTGGCTGTTCTTCATTCACGCATTCACAAATTCACTTAACGAATGTTTATAGAGCACCCGCTACTTGCCAGGAACTATTCTAGGGATTAGAGATAGCTAAGTGTACAAAACTGACAAAGTTCCTATTCTTGGGAGCTTACATTCTAGTGGAGAGAGACACAGAATGAACACAGCATGATTCAGGACATGGTAAGTTCTAAGAAGGAAAATAAAGCAACAGGTAGGAACAGAAAGAAACAGGTTACTTTAGATGGAGTATTTGGTCGGGGGTGGTGGCTCATGCCCGCAATCTCAGCACTTTGGGAGAGTGAGACAGGTGGATTGCTTGAGGTCAGGAGTTTTGAGACCAGCCTGGCCAGCATGCTGAAACCCTGTGTGGTGGTGTGCACTTGCAATCCCAGATACTCAGGGGACTGAGGCAGGAGAATTGCTTGAACCTGAGAGGTGGAGGTTGCAGTGTGCCAAGATCGTGTCACTGCACTCCAGCCTGGGTTACAGAGTGAGACTCTGAAGGAAGGAAGGAAGGAAAGAAGGAAGGAAGGAAGGAAGGAAGGAAGGAGGGAGGGAGGGAGGGAGGGACGGAAGAGGGGAGAGGGGAGAGGGGAGGGGAGGGGAGGAAAGAGGGAGGGGAGGGAAAAAAAATTGATGATAGTAAAAAACCTGGATGGTGATAGGGAATCAGTCCCATAAAAATCTGCAATACCATTTTAGGTAGAAGGAACAGCATGAGGAGGAGGCTTGATTTGAAAAAGATGGAATTTTACCAATATTTTGATTTGCCACTACAAAAAGCACTGTTGCTTAGCTATATACTAAGCAAAAGAATGGGACCCAGAAGTAGTTGGGCTTCAAAAAACATGAAAAATTCTAAAACCCTAAGTCCTGTGAGCCTTATTTGTTCTTCTCACCACACCAAAGAACTCTGCAATGATAGGAAACAAATTACCAACAACGTCTCTCCCATCTGAGAAGCGGACAGTTAGGTTATGGGTCCAAACAGCACAGTTTCAAACTTTTCTTCTTCTTCTTTCAAATTTTATCTTATTTGATGGAGGCTTCATTCTACATCATCAGGGTCACTTTGGATCTTAGCTCTTTTCATCCAATATACTGACAATCCCTCCGAATTTCCTGGAATGTGGGAATTTATCCAACATGCCATCTGTGCCATGACCCCATTTCCTGAGAAAAAGAATCACCAGGGCAACCTGTGCATAGAGTCCTACGGCCTATGTTAGAGACCTGTACCTACGGTGGCATAAGCCCACTAATCACGCGTAGGATGTACCACAGTAATTCACTATAAATTCTCAGCCAATTGTTCTTACCATGTTTATAAGAATCTGATTAATTGTTCTCAGCCAATTGTTCTTATCATGTTTGTAAGAATATGATGGGATCCTTTTCACAAGATGGCACCGAGAGCAAAGAAGGAAGTTCCTGCCCCTCCTAAAGCCGAAGCCAAGGCGAAGCCTTTAAAGGCCAAGAAGACAGTGTTGAAAGGTGTCCAAAGACACAAAAAAAAGAAGATCCGGCCAGGCGTGGTGGCTCAAACCTGCAATCCCAGCACTTTGGGAGGCCAAGGCGGGTGGATCACGAGGTCAAGAGATCGAGACCATCCTGGTCAACATGGTGAAACCCCGTCTCTACTAAAAATACAAAAAATTAGCTGGACATGGTGGCGTGTGCCTGTAATCCCAGCTACTCAGGAGGCTGAGGCAGGAGAATTGCTTGAACCCAGGGGGCGGAGTTTGGGGTGAGCCAAGATCGCGCCATTGCACTCCAGCCTGGGTAACAAGAGTGAAACTCGGTCTCAAAAAAAAAAAAAAAAGAAGATCCACACATCACCCACCTTCCAGCGGCCCAAGACACTGCGACTCCGGAGGCAGCCCAAATATCCTGGGAAGAGTGCCCCCAGGAGAAACAGACTGGACCACTATGCTATCATCAAGTTTCCGCCGACCACTGAGTCCGCCATGAAGAAGACAGAAGACAACAACACACTTGTGTTCATTGTGGATGTTAAAGCCAACAAGCACCAGATCAAACAGAATGTGAAGAAGCTCTATGACATGGATGTGGCCAAGGTCAACACCCTGATTCGGCCTGATGGAGAGAAGGCATATGTTCAACTGGCTCCTGATGACGATGTTTTGGATGTTGCCAACAAAATTGGGATCATCTAAACTGAGTCCAGCTGGCTAATTCTAAATATATGTATATATTTTCACCATTAAAAAAAAAAAAGAATATGATGAATTGTGTACCTTAAAGTTCATAGTACATTTGGGGTACTTGCCTTAGTAGAAAATCATAAATGACCTCTGATTAAGCAATATAGATACTCTTTTAAAACTTTAAAAAACAGAGATGGGGTCTCCCTGTGTTGCCCAGGCTGGTCTCAAACTCCTGGGCTCAAGTGATCCCCCTGCCTTGGCCTCCGAAGTGCTAGAATTACAGGTATGAGCCACCATACCCAGCCTAAAACTTTTCCTGTAATCATCACCAAGACTCTTTCCATGCATTCATCTTAAACAAATTTTCTAATAAACTATCATTGGAATCAGGGTCGAATCAGTTGGCAATGTCGCAGATACGGGGAGAAAATACTGTCACGGTCAGGTGGGATTAAAGTAAGTCTCAGTTACCTTTCCCTCATCCCCGCACGCCCCTTTGCTCCCATGCACTAGGGCCTCCATTCCCACATGACAATCAAAGCACTGCTCCACAGTTCTAGCTTTGCCCATGTCTACCTCCTCCCCACTAAGGAGGAAAGATCAGGGCAGTATTGGCACTCAGGCAGGAATGGCCTAAAACCAGAGTTTTCAGAACAGAACTGGTTCTATTTACAGAGTTACGTCCCATCCAGCTACACTGGAAAAAGCAGCCTGTTAAACTACACCACTCAGTTGCACAAGTTAGTGCAGTTTAAAACTTCATGAATTGCTCCACACAAAGGCGACCTGTGCCCTCGGACCCACTGCCTCCTCCATGGACTCTGTCGGTGCACAGACACACATTTCTCACCTGTCACAGTGCTTCGCACAGTTATACTTTACAGAGCTGTCCACCAAGTACACCAAGAAACCCAGGAGCCCATGATAAAGATTGAGTCCTTTAGGGTCTCTGCAGTTGTCAGGTAATGGTCATAACAGAGGTACGGAGGTTAGAAAAACAGAGAATTTTTTAAAAAATAAATGCTCCAGGATAAATGAAAGTTCTATTAATCCATTCTCACACTGCTATAAAGAACTACCGGAGACTGGGTAATTTATAAAGACAACAGGTTTAATTGACTCACAGTTCCACAGGCTGTACAGAAAGCATGGCTAGAAAGGCCTCAGGAAACTTACAATCATGGCAGAAGGGTGAAGGGGAAGCATGCATGTCTCCACATGGCAGCAGGAGAGGGAGCAAGCATGTGCAAAGCGGGAAGTGCCACACACTTAAACCATCAGATTTCCTGAGAATTCACTCACTATCATGAGAACAGAGTGGAGAGATCTGCCTTCATGATACAATCACCTCCCATAGAGGTGATTGCCTCTTATTCCACTGCTCCTCCACCCAAACACCAGGCCATATAGCTAGTCTATTTCTTTTGATCTTGACACCATAAACCAGTGGTTTATACCGTATAAACAAGGGGATATTTGGCAATATCTGGAGACATTTTGATTTTCATCATGACTGGGAAAGGGTGTGCCACTGGCATCTAGGGTTATAGGATAGGGATGCTGCTAATCATCCTACAATGCACAGGTACCCACACCAACCAAAAGACTCATCTGGTCCAAAAGGATGTCATAGTCTGCTATAGTATTGATAGTTTGCTAAGGTATTGATAGTACTGAAACAGATACTATTTATTCATTTACTCAAACATTTGTGCTATAAATCTTCTCCAACTATTTAATAGAGAACTATAAGAAATGTGGTGAATTTTAGAAAGCAATATACCTGGAGAGCTTTACTTTGGGGGAGGGCAGGGTGGCAAGTCCCATTTTTCTCCTAATCATGATCTTGAAAACTTGGGTAGATTCATCTAATCTTAGATATTTAAAATTAAGTATCTATATTCTTTTTGTTTTTCCATGCGATTTTGACCTACAGGAAACTGTATGTTAGCGTCTCAGAGATGCCTTCAATTTTTAGCCTTAAGTATTTCATTTTTCAGAATTTACTTAACAGAATCCTAATTCACATAAAACTGTTACATCACTTTCTATAGCCCTCTCTCCCCTTACAACATATTACCATACAACACAGAGAAAGACTTATAATTAGTCATAACAAGTGAAGGACAGCATAAATCCTCAACAATGACTCTATAAATCCCAGTGCTATGAAAGCATTTAACAATCTCCCTAGGGATGTCAATTTTATAATAACATTCGCTATTTCAGTGTTACATGAAGGAAAATTCTTTTTTAAAGTCAAGTTTTAAAACATATATAAGAATCGATATTGAGGGGAGGCAGGGAGAGGCACTATACTTTTAGAATTCTTTTATGGAAACTAAGTTATTAATGTACTAAAATTGACTGTAATATATGGCTATAAAAATGTTTCATAAATCTTTAAAATATGCCTCTTTATTAATATTTAACAGTCCCATTAAATGAGCTAACAATATTACTCAAGAGCATCAGAGATTTTAATATATATTAGTAGAGACTTATTTCAGATTTGACGTAAGGTACCAGACTGAGTTTCAATCCATACCGCTAATAAAATGCAACATGAGGCAGAGAAAATGTAGCCGTCTCAGAAAACAGAATCTGAAAACTCTAAGTTGGAATCTGAGGCATGTTTATTCTTTCAGGTATTCTGAAGCAGATTAATTAATAAGCAGATGTAAATCTAAAACATCACAATGAATAAAAACATGACAATGAAATTCATGTATACAAACATAAAACTGAGAAATTGCAAAATAATATAATTTGTGTTTATGAGAAACAAAAGCCACAAACCTAAATCCAGACTACTTTTTGCTAATGAATTAAAATTTTCCAGGTCATCAAATCTGCCTTGCTGACTGTTTCCTTCAGTTGATGGTACAGATGGTAGGGACTCCATGACAAAATTTTCATTCATCTTGAGAGGAAGAAAAATAGAATTGCGTTAGTACTTTGTGAAAAAAACGTAATACTGCACAGTTGTTCAACCCAAATAATAATGATATTGAAAAAACTGATGCTGCAAACAGGCATTCTCAAGTCTCAGTTTATACTGTGGTAAGCAGTAACAAATGCTGGTAACCATATCTGCAGAAGTACAGGCTAGTAAAATCTGTTTATTCCAAGCTCTAGATTTTTAACCAAAAAAACTGTTTTATAAACATTAGTAAGTGAATTTAAATAAACATTTACCAAGGTAGAAGACTAAAAGGTCTATCAAGTCAAGCAACGTTAGTTACTGATACACACAGCCTCCTGATTGTATTGCTCTGGTATCTACAAATAAACAGCTTCCCTGCTGACTCCAAAAGATGTGATGAATTTTCATAGCTCTAAGCATTTGTTAGCACTGTTATCTGCCTGGTGACTAGGTAGTTACCCAAACCTAAAACCTACAGTAAGTGCTGTCGATAAGTTAACTGCATTTTCCTCCCATCTTGCTTTTATATACAAGTCTTTTATGGTTTTCCAAAGTCATAATCTTACAGAATGCTAAAATGTTTATGTTCCTTCTGACCCCACAAATTCATATGTTAAAATCCTAACCCCCAAGGTGAAGATATTTGGAGGTGGGGACTTCTGTGGGGTGATAGAGTGATGAGGGCAGAGCCCTGGTGAACGGGATTAGCAGCATCTTATAAAACAGGTCCAGGCCGGGCGCGGTGGCTCAAGCCTATAATCCCAGCACTTTGGGAGGCTGAGGCGGGTGGATCACGAAGTCAACAGATCGAGACCATCCTGGTCAACATGGTGAAACCCCGTCTCTACTAAAAATACAAAAAATTAGCTGGGCGTGTTGGCGCGTGCCTGTAATCCCAGCTACTCAGGAGGCTGAGGCAGGAGAATTGCCTGAACCCAGGAGGCGGAGGTTGCGGTGAGCTGAGATCGCGCCATTGCACTCCAGCGAAACTCTGTCTCAAAAAAAAAACAGGCCCAAGAGGCCAGGCATGGTGGCTTACGCCTATAATCCCAACACTTTGGGAAGCCGAGGCAGGTGGATCACTTGATCACCGCAGCCAGCATGGCAAAGCCCTGTCTCTAATCCCAGATACTTGGGAGGCTGAGGAGGGAAAATAGCCTGAGCCTGGGAGAGTGAGGCTGCAGTGAGCCATGATCATGACATTCCAGCCTGGTCAACAGAGTAAGACCCTGTCTTAGTAAATAAATAAATAATAAAAAAAGTTTATAAGTATAAATTTAAATGACTATTTTATTGCCACCGTAGGAATACACCATAATTCATTTAAGGTACATAACACTATGTTATTCTTTATTGTTGGAATTTTGGTTGTTCAAAACAAAATGTGAATTTTACCTTTCACAATGGTCTACTTTTTCTGTAAAGTGGTCAGACTTCAATGGTAAGAGAAGGATCTTTCATAAGCTGGTATGCAAAATGCTTCCAACTTTCCAAAGTAGATTACTAATTTGGTAATGCTGGGCAAGGTGGCAGAGCCCCAGCAACAGAAAGTGATTGGCACGCAGGTAGTAAAGAGAATTTACTGATCATGGTACAGGTTTGAAAAGTAAAGTTTTATTAGACAGAAAGAACACTGTAGCAAGGCAGTTCAGCAAGAGAGGACTGAGTGGGCCTTGGTGGATTTTCCTTAGGGGTATTTATAGACCTTAAAGCAGAAGCTTAAGGGTAATTTAGACCATATTATTTTTTTAGGTCATGATAGACGATTACATTTGTAGACATGTTGGTGCCTTGATGTCAGCAAAGGCTGCACAATGAGTTTTGATACACATGCGTTCAGGAGATATATAGAAATTCTAGCTACTTATAAATTTTGGGAAAGCAACCTGGTAACCAGATGCTGGCATTAGATAACAGGAAAGTCTAATTGCTTCTAAAACCCTCAGATAAAGAGTTTTGCCTCTGGATGGCCTGTTTGATGACCACCAGGTGATCTTTGCTCTCCTCATTATACCTCTAAATTCCTCAGATAAGGAGTTTTGCCTCCAGACGGTCTGCTTGCTGGCCACCAGGTGATTTTTGCTCACCTCAGGTAAATATGTAACTATATCAGATACCCAATGGAGCCTAAGGAACACAGAATTTGACGCAAATATTAAACAGGGATAAGAAAGGGGATCTGACTACATAGTGGCCTAGAATAAAATAAGCAAGAACTTCTTACAGAAAAGAGTAAGGAGGAGATGGAAGGAACTGAGCACTTAAGAAAAAGAAAGTTACAGTAATTTTGGGCCATTTGGACTTTTTAAACAAAGTTAATGGCAATTCTGTTAATAGTAAATGAAGGAGAATTGATACCCAAATCTGGGATTTCAATACATTGGGTATGATAGATGAGATCTTTATAAACATGAATTTCTGGCCAGGTGCAGTGGCTCATGCCTGTGATCTCAGCACTTTGAGAGGCCAAGGCAGGTGGAACACCTGAGGTCGGGAGTTCAAGACTAGCCTGACCAAATGGAGAAACCCCATCTCTAGTAAAAATACAAAAAAAAATTAGCTGGGCATGGTGGTGCATGCCTGTAATCCCAGCTACTCGGGAGGCTGAGGCAGTAGAACTGCTTGAACCCGGGAGGCAGAGGTTACGGTGAGCTGAGATCACGCCATTGAACTGCGAACTGGACAACAGGAGTGAAACTCAGCTTCAAAACAATATAAAAATTAAAAATTAAGCCGGGCGCGGTGGCTCAAGCCTGTAATCCCAGCACTTTGGGAGGCCGAGGCGGGTGGATCACGAGGTCAAGAGATCGAGACCATCCTGGTCAACATGGTGAAACCCCGTCTCTACTAAAAGTGCAAAAAATTAGCTGGGCATGGTGGCACGTGCCTGTAATCCCAGCTACTCAGGAGGCTGAGGCAGGAGAATTGACTGAGCCCAGGAGGCGGAGGTTGCGGTGAGCCGAGATCGCGCCATTGCACTCCAGCCTGGGTAAGGAGAATGAAACTCCGTCTCAAAAAAAAAAAAAAAAAAATTAAAAATTAAATAAACATGAATTTCTTTTCTTTTGAAATAGAGAAGATTTTTTTTTTCCTAAAAAGAGAAGAAAATAAGAACATAGAATTATTCTTAGGTAAATAACCCTCAGGCAAAAACAAAAAAACAAAAAAAACAGATCTTTAAAAAAATGGACAAAGGACTTGAACAGATATTTCTCTAAAGAATACATAAAGATGGCCAAATAAGCACATGAAAGGATGCTCAATATCACTAATTGCTAGGGTAATGCAAACCAAAACACAAGATAGCACTTTTTACTCCTAAGAAACAAACAAAAAGCCAACAAACAAGTGTTGGAGAGACTGTGGAGAAATTTGAAGCCTTGTGCTTTGCTAATGGAAATATAAACTGTGCAGCTGTTTGCTGTAGAAAACAGTATAGTTCCCCAAAAATTAAATATAGAATTAGCATATGATCCAGCAATTTTATTGCTGAGTATACATTAAAAAGAACTGAAAGCAGGGATTTCAACAGATATTTATATACCAATGTTCCTAACAGCATTATTCACAACGGTCCAAGGTATAAACAACCTAAATATCCTTCAACAGATGAATGGAAAAACAGAATATGGTAAATACAGTGCAGACCTATAGGAACCTCAGAGTTGGTATTGACAGGGACAAGAGGCAGAGAAATTTACGGGTAGGACCCTGACAAAAATCCCACCCTCAAGCCTAAAACCATGGCCTAAAGTGAAAACTTCTATCCCTGTTTTCCAGCTCAAAAGTTACCTTTTCCTAAATGACCCATGGCCTCGTCCTGCCCCATCCTGTGCCTATAAAGACCCTAGACTCAGCCAGCAGAGAGAAGCAGCTGGATGTCAGGGACTACAGGTGGACATCAGAAAGAAGCGGCTTTACTTTAGAGGGATGGCTTGATGGTGTAACTTCAAAGAATCCAGCTGGAGACGGCTGGACTTCTGGGGAAGATTACCTACCCACCTCCCCATCCTCTTTGCAGCTCCCCTTCCTACTGAGAGCTACTTTATTGGCAATAAAATCCCCGAATTTACCATCCTTCAATTTGTTGGTGCAGCCTCATTTTTCCTGGATACCAGACAAGAGCTCAGGAGCCACAAGTATGGATACAAAAGGCTGTCACACTGGCCCTTTGCCCTCGCTGGCAGAGGGCAGCCACCTCATGTGAAAAGGCAAAGGGCCCACTGAACTGTTAACATGCCATCCACAGATGGCAGAGCTAAAAGGGCACTGTAACAGGCTCTCTGGGGCTTCAGGGGTCACAGGCATCTCTCCTAGATGCTGCCACTGGGCCTGCACAGAATTTGCTCCTGCTGGTGCCTGGCTCCGGCACCCACTCACCGAGTGCTCCCCTCCCACAAGGGTTAACGCTGCAGATCCGAGTGAGTGCAGTTTAACCCTGCCAGCACCAAAACGGTCAGACTACTCATGTACTCCAGTTTTCACCTTGTTTGCTCACATGCTCCCTACGTCGAGGAGAGTGGTGGGCTGAGTAAACAGGGCACCCCTGTTGCAAATCCCACGAAGGGGTAAGGGAAATATCCTGCTTCAGTATGAAGATTATTATAAACGAAAGACATTTTAGATGTAACGGCTGCAGAACAAAGCCTTCTCAGAGCTTCCCTTATGTGACTAAAAGCAGCAAGTTCTAGAAAATGAGGCTATCAAACATTCCCTCTTGAGATGGGTCAACCCCCAGGGACACTGAAAGTAAGCCTACTACATAAATGCGCACTTGAGGAATGGCAATAAGCCAAGAGAGGGATCAGTGGCACCTGCATTTAAAAAATTATCAACATAATAAGAATGTTACCTCCATTTGCTCTCCTGAAAACCCATTTGTCTTTCCTAAACCCGGTTGTTGTTCTCATAGCTTTTTCTCTGCCCTCCCTTTTCCCATAAGTTACATATGTAAGCTCTAACTTTAATCACTTAGTGAGCTTGCTGCTTTTGTTGCATTCATATGTGTATAAATAAACCTTTATTCTCCTGTTAATGCCTTCTATCCGTTTAATTTGCACTCTTCCAGGCACAAAATAGAGGGTAGAGGAGAAGTTTTTTCTTCAAGACATATACGTACAAGGAATTATTATTCAGCTTTTTTTTTTTTTTTTTTTTTTTTTTTTTTTGAGATGGAGTCTTGCTCTATTGCCCAGGCTGGAGGGCAGTGGTGCCATCTCAGCTCACTGCAACCTCTGCCTCCCAGGTTGAAGTTATCCCCCTAGCTCAGCCTCCCAAGTAGCTGGAACCACAGGCACACACTACCATGCCTGGCTAATTTTTCTATTTTTAGTAGAGACGGGGTTTCGCCATGTTGACTAGGCTAGTCTCGTTCCTGACCTCAAGTGATTCATCCACCTTGGCCTCCCAAAGTGCTGGGATTACATGCATGAGCTACCACGCCTGGCCCATTCAACTTTAAAAATGGAGGAAATTCTGACACATTCTGCAATATATAAGAATCTTAAAGATATTATACTAAGTGAAATAGCCAGACACAAAAGAGCAAATATTGTACTATTCCACTTTTTTCAGCTGCTTCAGTATAGTCAAATTCTTGGAGACAGAAAATAAAACAGTGGTTGGTTGGCAGGGGATGGGGAGAGAGGAGAAAGAGAAGTTTATTGTTTAATGAGTAGAGTTTCAGTATGGGATAAGAAGATCTGTAACAACATGGTGGCCATGTTAACACAAAAATATACATGTACTTAATGTCACTGAACTACACACCTGAAAATGGTTAAAATGGTAAATTGTGTGTCATGTGTATTTTACCATAATTTTTAAAACCCAAATCTATAGGCCTTTAGTGTTTTTACTCTTCAGCTAAAATGAAGTATGAGAGTGGAAGAGAAACATAAACTTTGAAGTAATTAGGTACTATTTGCCCTCCACAAATATAGCTGACATCTATATCCCAAAATGGGTATCAAACCAAGAGAGAAATAACAATGTTCCTTCACCCTTTGGGAGGGCACCCTCTAGAAGAGTATTGGGAATTACATATTTGTAAGGGATTGGAATGTGTTTTTAAAATCTTCTTAGAGCTTACAATATTAGATAATATTATCAGATAAATTATCACAAGGGTCCATCAGCAATACGAGGGGGGCAAATAAAGATTCAAGCCCATCCTGATCAGTGGATGTAAGTGTTCATTGCTGTGGAAGAGAGGGAAAGAGCCAATACCCTAAGAAAGCACATATATTAATTTAAAGAAAACAAAATACTGTTCAGGCAAGAAACACTAGGACTGAAACAGTCTCATTCAATGCCAATTTGGGGAGCCTACAGAGGTTACCTTCACTGCCTATGTGAGAATTGGCAAAACATTAACATTTTTACAGGTTTTAAAATACGAATGTTGAAACTTCCAGAGTAAATATTATAAATATACATTTGACTGTTTCATCTCTAGCCTTAAAAGTGTACACAGTAAAATAAGCTGATATTTCAGGTTGCCTTTTATTTGGATAAACAGAAAATTTCTTTTTATGGAAGAAAACGGCAGTAACAAGCAAGTATGGCTGAATCAGTAATGGGAAATAAAAAGAGGGAAGCTGGGAAATTTAACACAGATTTAGTAATCAGCATATGCATTTTCAACTGTAAGCACTGACTGTTGTTTTAAACCAGACTCTTAACACTTTAACGAACAATAGAGGAAGTGGTATATCAGAGGCACTTGAACCAGAGTGGAACCAGGTGACAGGAGCAGGGCGGCAGCTGCGTCCCAAGATGCTCACTGTTCCGGGATCGGATGTGTTTTCCCATCCTTGGGCCTCACTCACCCAAGAATGGGGAAGGGGCCCTGGTGGCACGGTGAGCTCATTCGAGTAAATATCGGACCCAAAGAGCTTTGCAGAAAAGCAATTTATTAGGCAGAGAGAGAGAAAGAGAAATAGAGACAGAGAGAGCTCCCATGCTGTCATGGGAGAGGATCCGAAGATGGGAGTGCCTATAGGAAAGGAAATAGGTCCGATTTTAACCCGTGAGTTACTCTCGCCCTATTCAAGTTCTCGTCCAGTGAGAGGAGCTTTTCCAAACTTCCTCCGGAGCAACTGATCTTCAACTCTGATACTGGCCCGCAATCAAAGCCTCCTCCCTCAGAGCTTGTGGCTGGCTTTCTAAACAAAGGAAGCCCACCTGAGCTGTTACCTAGCCCGCGCCCAGGAAAGTTAAAAAACTCTAGGCTCCGGGATGGGGAAGTGGATGGAAGCATGGATGTGGATGGCGCTGGGAAGTTCTTGCCTTTGAATCTATGCCCCTTGTGGACCTAGGAAGAGAATTTAACATAGTCCCTCAAGAGCAACTCCATTTTGAATAGCGCTGGGTAAAATGAGGCTGAGACCCACCGGGCTGCATTCCCGGATGGTTAAGGCATTCTAAGTCACAGGATAAGAGAGCATGTTGGCCCAAGATACAGGTCATAAAGATCTTGCTGATACAACAGGCTATAGTAAAGAAGCCGGCCAAAACCCACCAAAACCAAGGTAGCAACGAGAGTGACCTCTGGTTGTCCCCACTAGTACACTCCCACTAGCACCATGACAGTTTACAAATGCCATGGCAATGTCAGGAAGTTACCTTTCATGGTTTTAAAAGGGAGGCATGAACAATCCACCCCTTGTTTAGCGTATAATCAAAAAATAACTATAAAAATGGGTAACCAGTAGCCCTCAGGGCTACTCTGTTTATGGAGTAACCATTCTTTTATTCCATTACTTTCCTAATAAACTTGCTTTCACTTTACTCTATGGATTCACTCAAATTCTTTCTTGTGCAAGGTCCAAGAACCCTCCCCGGGCGTCTGAATCGGGACCTCTTTCCAGTAACAATTATATTGTGAAGAGCATCAACATAAACTTACAAGAGGGATTTTTAAAAAAAACTTAATGTTATGCAAATGACACTTGAGATAAGAATAAAATTTTGAGTGACAGGACAGATTCAAAAACTGCTATATCTCAAACAATCTAGTTAGAAGTGAAGATGACATATTTGGAAATGTACGTTAAATGATCAAAAAATGATTCTAGTGAAAATGTGGATGCTGAAATTAAATATGCATTGAAGAACTTGAATAAAAGTGTATGATTAAATATGAGAAAAGGTAAAAAAAATTTAACATCTCACAAGTTTTAAAATGGAATGTTTCACTAAACTTATAAAGTAAATATTATGTTCCCTCCCCACCCCACCCTCACCGCCACCCTCCCTCCTTCCTACAAAATAAATAAATATTATAAATATACATTTGACCATTTCATCTATAGCCTTCAAAGTTTATATATTAAAATAAACTGGTATTTCAGTTTGCCTTTTATTTGGGTAAATAGAAAATTATCTTTTTATAGAAGGAAACAGTAACAACAAGGGAGTTTTTATGAATATTTAGTCATCATTCCAATTTGCTCCATATAACTGAATACGTACGCTGTTTGGCGTTAAGCACGGACAGATATGAGAGGGACTGGCAAATATAGAAAGTGCCAACGTCAATGGAACACACCAGATTCCGTGTGACCTCTGTCCACATCCGGGCATCATTCACATATTCCAAAAACATCTGTTCTTTGGTACACTGCCCGGGGCCCTCTATCACGGTGAATCCTCCAGGGTCACATAAACACAGGTAGCACAGCACCTTGCCCAACAGAGGAATGCACCATCATTTGCATGACGGACAAAGTGAGGAAATTTCTAAGGGAGGAAAAGGCAGTAACACTCTCTACCTGCCCACTGAGAGAACACACGAAGGCACGCATTACACATCACAACAGGAAAGGTGCCAACCTCAGAGACGGGAGCACCAGGCTGCATCTGAATGTATTGCTAAGCTGTCTTTTTAAAAATTTCCCCATACAGTAACTCTGTCTCCATTTGCCTAAAAGTCAATAGGGCAGGAAATAAAGACACAAAAATATTTTTTCAAGTTCCTAATGAAGGATTCCAATTAGTAAATGCTTGACTATAATTTTATTAAAAATCGGTTTTGGTGACATAATAGCAAAGGCAAATCTATTAAAATATAATGCTCTTCACTGGGCACAGTGGCTCCTGCCTGTAATCCTAGCACTTTGGGAGGCTGAGATGGGAGATGGGAGATGCTTGAACCCAGGAGTTCAAGACCAGCCTGGGCAACAAGGCAAAACTCCATCTCTACTAAAAAATAAAAAAACTAGCCAGGGATGGTGGTGCTTGCCTGTGGTCCCAGCACCTCAGGAGGCTGAGGTAAAAGGATCCATGGAGCCTGGGAGGTCAAGGCTACAATGAGCCATGATTGTGCTACTGCACTCCAGCCTCCGCAACAGAGAGAGACCCTGTCTCAAAAAAATATGTGTGTGTGTGTGTGTGCGCGCGTGCGTGCATGCGCTTTCCCGCCAAATTGCAAATAAATAGTATCTTAAATGTAAAGATAATTTTCTAGAGTTCAGTGCTTCAGCATCATACATAACACAGAGAATAATGAGAGTGACCAAGATGTAAACAACAGTATGTACTAAATTGGCCTTGATTTTGCCTGATAAATGCACTATGTGAAAAATATACAGCTGTGTTTCCCTAAGGAATTTTTTTAAAAAATCACAAACGTTAAAAGAACTTCTCTCTGAAATGAGAAATTGGAAAAACATCACTAAAAAGCAAAGCAAATAAAAAAACACTACCACAACAGCAAGGCAACTGCAGCCTATTGACCCCCACAAGAAGCTGTGAAATACAGCAAAGACGAACTTATAGCTAGACACTGGATGACACATCTTGTAAACGGTGTTACTTATGGAAAGGCCCATTTAATAACAAACAAAATTGAAGTGATGTGAGTTAGACAGAGACAGGGATAGGCGAGGAGAGCAGAAGGCGGGGTGCGGAATATCTGTTCTAATCCCTTACCACGTTCTCAGTGCAACAGCCATACTGCTGTGCCTCCTGGGAATAGATATTCCTCACGGCTCTTGCCTCTTGAGACTCGGATGGTTCATTATCATGCAACCACTGTGTACCGAAGTGAAGTTCCTTAATGGAGGGCACAGGAGTGGCCTCTTGAATGTGCGACAAGGGATACAACTCCGTGGACTGAGAGTGACCTTGATAGAACTCATATTCTTCATCAACAAGCATTTCTCTTTCTTCATCCATTTCCTGCAATCTAGGAGTCAGAAATTCATGCATCTCCCAGGCTTCCTGGCTGTGGTCTATCTCTTTTTGTTGGGAATGGAAAGACTTTCCCAGATCTAGAAACGGTTCATCCACAAGTTCTTCCTTAAAATATGGTTCATCTCTAAATCCCTGTAAATAAAAGATGCGAAAAATGTGAAGTTATGCCTGTCCTGAAGCAGCACTATACAGATAAACTGGAAAATTCAAATGCTGGCATGACCCATATGCCAATGCACAGCTAACATGTACCACCCTCCACAGCAAACATGGAGAAATGTAAGCTCACCTCCACACAATCCTCAACCCACAAAAGGGAAAAACAGTAAATTACGAGGCAGAAATCTGCCCTTCACAAGGTGAATCATTTTGCTAAAAGATTCCTTATACATTAGCCACCCGAAAATTCTCCACTAGAAATGGGAATTTTGTTAAACTCTTACACTAAACATATAACCCATTCACTTAATATAACAAGTAGTACATAAATATGTATACACTTCAAACTATTATTTAAGAAAGCAAAGACTTAAAAGATCAAGATTTTTAAGCTTAAATAACTCAAAATGAAGTATAACCATCTGAATGTTTAGAAAACATTCTCCATAAACTAAAGACAAGGGGAGTATGTCTCTACTTTGAGTATGACTTTTTTATAATATAAAAAACCAGAAATCTTATTTTTCATTTGTGTTGAAAATAAATAATATGAAGGAATACCGTAATTTTTAAATTAATTTTTATTTCACTAATCATAACAGCTAGTGCACACTACTGAAACCAAACATGCAGAAACTGTGTTGGGTTACTGGCTAAAACCTGATAAATATATAGATTTGCTGAGACCATGACCTATCTCTGGGGAACCTCTGGGTGCTGGGCATAATGAGGCCCAATTCTTTCTAAAAGTTCAAAGATCTTTCCTATTTTAAGTCCTACTCATTACTACCTAGTGTAAATTCCTGGAATAAATCTATTATTTTCTATTGCCTTCTTGCAACTAAACATCATTGTAGCGAAGCTTTTAAATTAATACAGTAGGATTGGGCATGGTGGCTCATGCCTGTAATCCTAGCACTTTGGAAGGCCAAGGCAGGAGGATCTCTTGAGTACAAGAGTTGAAGACCAGGCTGGGAAACAGAGTGAGACCCTGTCTCTAAAAATAAAAATAAAAAAATAGCTAGGCATCGTGGCATGCACCTGGGGTGCCAGCCACTCAGGAGGCTAAGTCAAAGAATTGCTTGAGCCAAGGAGACTGATGGTGCAGAAAGCTTTGATCACACCACTGCTCTCCAGCTTAGACAACAGAGCAAAACACCATCTCAAAAGAAAAATTAATACAGTATACCAAATACTGCAACCTGGTTTCTTCAATGTGGATAGAGGATGTATTTGAACACAGCATGTGGTTATGCAATTTTTTTAAATGTCTGCACTAAAAAATATAATAGACATTCTAGAAACACACATCATCTTGAGACACTGTCTACATATTATGCAAAGAATATCACTAGACAGTTGTTATCAAGCAAGGCAAAACCATACTCTAACTGCAAAGAGCAACATAAGTGTAATTCCTTTTAAGAATAAAAAAGGAAAGCTTCAAAATACATTTTCTAAAATTAAGGCATAAGGTAGGGTTTGACAAAATAACTCTTCTTTAGAAAGTATTCAATATGATTTTTTTTGTGTAGTTCCATTTTTACAGCATTTTAAATGCAGGTCTATTTTCAACAATATGTTCTACCATCCAAAATTTTAGGAATACATTAGTGTATGTTTGTTCTTTGAAAATGCTTTACATCTTGCCTTTATCATTTATAGAGGCAATGTGATACAGAAGGAAATGTTTTAGTTTTTTAAAAAATAGGCCGGGTACAGTGGCTCATACCTGTAATTTCTACACTTTGGGAGGCCGAGGTGGGTGGACCACCTGAAGTCAGGAATTCGAGACCAGCCTGGCCAACATGATAAAACCCTGTCTCTACTAAAAATACAAAAATCAGCCAGGTGTGGTGGCACAGGCTTGTATTCCAGCTACTTGGGAGGCTGAGGCAGGAGAGTTGCTTGAACCTGAAAGGCAGAGGTTGCGCCACCGTACTCCAGCCTGGGCAACAGAGTAAGAGTCTGTCTAAACCAAACAAACAAAATGTGTGTGTGTGTGTGTGTAATGAGACCAGGTGCGATGGCTCACGCCTATAATGCCAGCACTCTGGGAGGTCAGGGCAGGTAGACCGCTTGAGCTCAGGAGTTCAAGCCCAGCCTGGGCAACATGATGAAACCCCATCTCTAACAAAAATACAAAAAATTAGCTAGATGTGGTAGCACATGCCTCTCATCCCAGCTGCTCAGAAGGCTAAGGCGGGAGGATCACTTGCCCCTGGAAGGCAGAGGTTACAGTAATACCAGATCTCCCCAGTGCACTCCAGCCTGGGTGACAGAGGGAGATCCCATCTCAAAAAAGAGAGAGAGAAAGACAGGAGGATTAGTTCTTTTATACCTATTTAGCCAAAGGAGGGGGACGAGCTTGTGTCTTCTTTATGTCTTTATTTGTATCTATTTAGCCAAAGAGTAAGGACAAGCTTTTGTCTTATTTTCTTTTGTATTCTTTCTACATAGGAAGTTTAGCTTATAGCAAATCATTCAAATGGGAAATAAATATACTAAATACCTTGGGTGCTTCAAGTATTAAAGATGAATTTATATCATGAATTGTTCCTGAAAATTCAGTCTTGTCTTCATTACTGCTTGAATGTAAAATATAACAACTTTCTTCTTCTTTATTATCTTCCTGAAAATATAAACCACTTTTATTTATAATCAAGAAAACATTGGGAGATGGGGGGTAAGGGGAGGGTGAGCATGAGGACAAATACCTAATGCATGTGGGGCTTAAAACCTAGATGACGGGTTGATATGTGCAGCAAATCACCATGGCCCTTGTATACCTGTGTAACAAACCTGCACGTTCTGCACATGTATCCCAGAATTTAAAGTAAAAGAAAGAAAAAAAGAAAAGAAAGATTAATTTGTGTAAAAAAGAAACAAAGAAAGAGAAAATATCTTGGTTTCAAACTTTCATCTTTCCGTTAAGAGCAAATACACAATACAAAATTTATTCAAATTGTTTCATTAGAACAAACTTTCTTTAATAATTAAAAAGAACACCATATTCAGGTCAGAGCTTCCCAAACTTTTAAAAGTATTTCTTAAAGAAAAATCACTCTCCCAGGAATAGACCTTGTATATAAAACTATCTATGTACCTGGCACAAATTTAAGCACTTTAAATATATTTAATATGTTAATTAATATATTAATATATACTCTAAGAAGTGGGTCCTCTCATTAGCCCTATTTTACTGGTGAGCAAAAGTGTACATATTAATTTGCCAAACGTTACACGACTAGTCAGTTACATATTCTGGCTGTCTAGTACTAGAGCCTATGTTCACAATTACCATGCCATGCAATCCTCATCTTTTTTTTTTTTTTTTAATTGAGACAGAGTCTCGCTGTGTGACCCAGACTGGAGTGCAGTCGTGCAATCTCGGCTCACTGCAACCTCTGATGCTCTGGTTCAAGCAATTCTTTTGCCGCAGCCTCCAAAGTAGCTGGGACTAGAGGCATGCATCACCTCGCCTGGCTAATGTTTTTGTATTTTTAGTAGAGACAGGGTTTCTCCATGATAGCCAGGCTGGTCTCGAACTCCTGACCTCCCAGGTGATCTGCCCACCTCAGCCTCCCAAAGTGTTGGGATTACAGGCATGAGCCACCACACACAGCCAATCTTCATCTTATAGATGAGGAATGCAGTAGCTGATGAGGTTGAATAACTGGCACAAGGACACAGAGACTTACAAACCACACATCTAAGCAAAAACCCATAGCTGTCTGGCTCAAGAGTTTTATTGTCAGTTCTGTTCAGTTAGGTCTGAAGATATAATGCAGTTTTTAAAGTCATTTCAGCCTGGGCGTGGTGGCTTACATCTGCAATCCCAGCACTTCGGGAGGCTAAGGCAGAAGCATCACTTCAGCCTGGGAGTTCAATACCAGCCTGGGCAACATGGAGAGATCCTGTCTCTATTTGTATATTAATCAACAGTAATAAGTCATTTCATTCATTTTGTGGGTCGGATATGTTTGAGGTAAGTTTTTAGAAAAGATAAGATTAAAAATATATAATATGAAGTATATAGATATATATACATACTATATCGATATAAATACAAGACTTAATAAAAATAATTCGTTTTCATCACCATTATATATTCACAGTCTTTCTGCTCCACCCTGACTTTGGATTTGTTTCTTCATATTCTCTGTCCCCACTTGTGCTGTGGATTGAGTAAATGTTCAGTAAAAAATAGTTAATGAGATAAGTGGCCGCCAACTTTACCATGAGAGAGAGAGAGAGAGAGAGAGAGAGAGAGAGAGAGAGCGTGCTCAGATAAAATCCATGCCTGGTTCCTTGAATCACTATTTATAGATCATGAGCAGTTTTCCCAGAAGACCCCAGATGTTAAAGGAGGCTTACTTAGTGGTTAAAAAGAAAAAAAATCTTGAAATTGACCTTTCTCTCAATCCCCTCATTGGCCTCCCACCTCTAAGTATTCTTGGCAGCCTTGGACTCACTGAGGGAAGTCTGGGTGAGGTTCCACCCACAATCATCACATTCCAAAATACTCTCAAGAGTAATGCTCTAAGGTCCTTCCACCAGATATAGCACAAGGATCCACACCCAGTCGCTACCAACTCCTGTTTTGTTTTGTTTTGTTTCATTAAACAGCCCAAGACTTCCTAAAACTGTTTCAAGATGAAGGTTGTGTTGTTCAAGTCCTCTAGAACACAAATAGTTTGGGATGTCCCCATGCAGCCACACTAATCTGGCAAATAACCATCAGGAAAAATCTAGACAAAGTTCTTGCTACAATCCAAAATACTAAGAAGATGAAGTCCCTTAAAAACATTAATAGTTTTCCCATCTTTAATTTATCCAAAACTCAAACCAAGCACCTCATGGCATCATCTGTTGACTGCAGTAATACCTACACCAAATATACAAAAGGTCAAGAACTTATTTAACTATGTGCTATATTCCAGTTTGAAATATTTAAAGTATCTGATAGGTATAATACACAAGAATAAAAAAAGTAACATGAAGACCACCGTTTGGTCTCCCATGCAAAAATACTACATGCATAACAAATCTATCTATATACGATTGATAGAGTTTGTCTATTTGTCCCTGCCAAGATCTCGTGTTGAATTTCAATCCCCAATGCTGGAGGTGGGGCCTGGTGGGAGATGTCTGAGTCATGGGGGTGGATCCCTCATGGCTTGGTGCTGTCTTCACAATAGTGAATGAGTGTGTACTCATGTGATCTGGTGGTTTCAAAGTGTGTGGCATGGCCAGGCACGGTGGCTCATGCCTGTAATCCTAGCACTTTAGGAGGCCCAGGCAGGTGGATTGTCTGAGCTCAGGAGTTCAACGCTAGCCTGGCCAACATGGCAAAACCCTGTCTCGACTAAAAATACAAAAATTAGCTGGGTGTGGTGGCGCATGCCTGTAGTCTCAGCTACTTGGAAGACTGAGGCAGGAGAATTGCTTGAACCTGGAAAGTGGATGTTGCAGTGAGCCGAGACTGTACCACCGCACTCCAGCCTGGGCAACAGAGTGAGACTCTGTCTCCAAAAATAAAAAATAAAATACAATGTGTGGCTGTGTGGCATCCCTCACCCCACTCCAACTCTCTCTTACTCCTGCTTTCACTGTGTGAAGTGAGTGCCTGCTCCCGCTTTGTTTTCCACCGTGAGTAAAAGCTCCCAGAGGCCTCCCCAGAAGCAGATGCCACCATGCTTCCTGTACAGCCTGTAAAACTGTGAGTCAATTAAACCTCTTTCTTAGAAATTGCCCAGTCTCAGGTATTTCTTCATAGCAACGCAAGAACAGCCTAATACAATGAACGTAGCTATCTCTATCTACCTATCCAACTATCTATACATAGGAACTTATGTGATTCATACGTTATATTAAAATGTCTCCTAGATTAAAGAATTGGAGTTAAGAAATACCTTAGGAATTCTCTAGTCTTGTCCAATCTTTTCAAAGATGAACAAAACAGGCTCAGAGAAGTGGCATACCCATTGATCAAATTAATAGCATAATGTTTCTCAAAATACGAAACTCGGCATCAGAATTACACAGGCGACCCATGGAAGAGGTAGATTCCTGAAGAGCATATCAGAATTACTACTAAATGAGAATTTCTGGGAGCAGAACCCGGGAAACTGCATTTTCACTACCTCCCAGGTGAGTCTTATATATAGTACATATCTTTAAGTTTGAAATGGGCTAACTTATAGCAAAGCCAGAGACAGAGTTCAGGTTTCTAGAAATCCAGACCAACAATTTATTACAACAATTTATTACAATTTATTAACAACAATTTATTACAATTTATTACAAACAGATAAACATGTATTTATCTGTTTCATACATGCTGCATACAAACTAAACAAGTGACTGACAACACAGTAAGACAGGCAGGTACAGCACTGTGGCTAAGAGCACAGGGTTCAAAGCCGCCCTGCTGAGTGCACGTTATAACTCTACCCCTTACTAGTTATAAGACCTTGGTTGAGCTACTTAATTCTCTGTGCCTCTTCTGTAATGAAGGTAACAAAAGGCCTATTCTTGAAGTTGCTGTAAGGATTAAGTTAGTTAATAGTTAATACGTGTAAAGGGCTTAAAAGAATGATTGACATTTAGTAAGCACTTAGTAATAATAAAACTGGCTGAAAAGCATCATCATTAAGTTTTTTCGTTGTTGTTGTTGGTTTGTTTTTTGCGTTAGAGGTCTCTAGAGCACCATAACTGTAACGGGGTCTTCAGTCATAAGCAGCAACCTGACCATAAGATAAAGCAACAAGATGACTTCAAGATGGGGTTCTTGATGCTAGGAATTACAAGTTGCTTTGATGGAGAGAAAAGCATATTAAAATATCATTGTTATATGATTGAAATGCTATAGTTACCAGGATTTCAGCTTATCATACCATCTTGACATCATTCCCAAATGAAAGTCAAAATGGACAAATACTTATTTTAATTTACATATAAGAATAGCCAGGTACGGTGGCTCACTGTATTTTGGGAGGCCAAGGCAGGTGGACTGCCTAAGCTCAGGAGTTCAAGACCAGCTTGGCCAACATGGTGAAACCCCATCTCTACTAAAAATATAAAAAGTTAGTAGCTAGGCATGGTGGCACACGCCAGTAATCCCAGCTACTTGAGAGGCTGAGGCACAAGATTCACTTGAACCAGGAGGCAGAGGTTGCAGTGAGCCGAGACTGTGCCACTGCACTCCAGCCTAGATGACAGAGTGAGACTTTGTCTCTAAAATGATAATAATAATAATTTGCATATAAGACACGTGCTGAGAGCTTAGAAGTCTGTGCTAAAAGTATGAAGATGAAAGTAGTAATAAGAGTGATAGTAGTAAAACTAGCAACATAGCAGCTAGTATTTATGTAATAATATGCTATGAATGTAATGAATATCACCTTTAAACCCCTAAATCGTATGAGGTAGGCATTATTTTTTCTGATATTGTAAGTCAAGGAAATTAAGAAACCTGCCCAAGGTCACACGCAAGTAAACAGTGGAAAAGAAATTCTCAGCCAGGTATATGTCTTCAAAATCCATGTTCTTAACTGTTATACTATTATCACTTCCTATATTAATAAAATGCAACACTCACCACCAAAGGCTTACAGATGCCGAGGCGTACTATGCCTGGTGGCACAGCTTTCAATACTTCCACAGCTTCAGCAAGTGAGGTGTTGTCCAAACAGTATTCATTGACTGAGACCAGGCGGTCTCCAGGTAATAGTCCTCCACTTCTTTCTGCTACGCCATCTGCTACCAGGGAGCGGATCACAATCACTGATCTTGTAGGATCTAAAGGGTCCTGTGAATCAAGCAAAGAAGAAAGATGAGTATATGCCCTGAAAATAAATATGCAATCTTAGGACAGCGTTGACTCAAGAATCTCATTTGACCACTTACTTCATGTGTTTAGCACTCTGGTGATAATCTTCTAAACACATAAAAATAAATTAAAATCTCACTCTAAGCCAGGTATGTTTGTACACCTCTGTATAATCCCAGCTTCTTGGGATGCTGGGGTGGGAGGATTGCTTGAGCTCAAGAGTTTGAGATCAGCCTAGGCAATATAGCAAGACTTTGTCTCTAAAATAAGTGTTTTTAATTTAAAAAATTAAAAGGCCAGGTGCAGTGGCTCATGCCTAAAATCCCAGCACTGGGGGAGGCCGAAGTGGGAGGAATGTTTAAGCCCAGGAGTTCAAGACCAGCCTAGTCAACATGACAAAACCCCATCTCTGCAAAATACACACAAATTAGCCAGGTGTGGTGGTGTGTGTCTGTAGTCCAAGCTACCTGGGGCGTGGAGCAGGGGATGCTGAGATGGAAGGATTAGGGCTTGAGCCCAGGAAGTCAAGGCTGCAGTGAGCTATGGTTCACTCTAGCCTGGGTGACAGAGCAAGACCCTATCCCCAAAAATAAATACATAAAACATCACACAAATATCAGCTTGTATCAAGGTGAAAATATAATCTTAATAATTTCAGCGGCATGTCTGAGTGCCTAAAACATATAGATTTCCTGTTAAAATTTTTGGTGATTGATACTTAGTTGGACCATAAGAGTCTAGGAACAGTTAGGCAAGAGTCTCTAACATTCTCAAGCACAGTTATGTGATGGACCAAAGATAAGCCTGTCTATTACTCCTCTGGAGCCATAATTAAGCTCCAAGAAAAGCATTAACATAATCATAAATATAATAAGGGAAATGATACTCTGTTCTTATGCCTTCACCAGTAGTACAGAATCCTCCTATAAAACCATACAATTCCAGAAAAGACATGGAAACCATGGAAGATTCCACTGTATTTTCCAAAGTATATTTATAAATAATATGACCTAAAATTATGATATAGTGCCCTTAGGTCACAACTATTCAATATATAGTAAGTATGAATTTATGAACAAAAGCAATGTACAGATCTCTCTCACCCACTGGGAGGGCCCCATATTTCTTGATAAGCACTGAGGACAACACTGACATTCAATGAATACATCTGGTTAATAAAAACCAGTTTATATCACCACTATTGTATTCTGATTTAACAAACTGATATATAGCGCTTACTCTATGTTGGGCTTGACAATCACTAATTTATCTAATCCTTAGAACTCTAGAATGTAGGTAGATTTATTGTCTGTGTTTTATGAACGAGGAAACCGAGGCTCAGTAAGTTAAGGAAACTAGCTAGTATCGCCCATGCGTAACAGAGCCAGGATCCAACCAGGCGGTCTGGCTCTTAAGTCCTTACTCTTGACCACCACACTCTGCAGCTTGCTCTGCATCAGAATGGTCAGAAGAAACCACGAGTTGTAAATGGAGAAGAAAGACATATTCACATGGCAGAGTCTCTTAACTTGTCTTAACAGTGGAGGTGTAGTAACTTAACAAGGGGGAGAAGAAGTAATGACATCCCAAACGCAGCAGCATTCACTTTGGTTTCTCTATGCTTCTCCCATTGTTTCATTATGCACATGCCGTTCCACAAGGCAAGATATTGTAACTTGAGATTCTACTCACTAGCCTCTCTCAAACTCTTCCAGGGAAAGTAGAGAAAAACTGCTAGGTTTGTGTGGGAATTATAAAACTTTGGAATTAGCAAAGTAAGAATTTGCCAAATTCAAAAGCTTTTGAATTTGTTTGAAGTGGCTGATGATTCTTTTGAAGTTTTCTGATGCAGTTTTCAATGCCTCTGCGTTTCAGACATCCGCGTTCATTTTCAAAGTTCTACATGGAATTTTAACCAAATACACCATATTTAAATCAAAAAAGGCTACATAGCTAATTCCTTGAAGAATGCCTTCAAATGTAACATCTTGCTTTTTGCAACTAACCTTGCCTTTCTACCCCCAGTCAAGAGTCCTTTTTACATGCTCTGATGTATACCACCACATATTTATGAAGAGGGTTACAAGTAAAAAGGAGTATAGGGAACTCACTAATGAAGTGGTGTGAAACTATAATTACACCAGTATTTTCAAGTAGGGGGAGCTATTGCATAGGGAGAGAACGGAAGAGAACCGAAAAAGTACAGTGGCATATCAGCAGGCAATCGACGCCGTAATATAAAAGAGCTGTCTATTTTGTCACTGGCAACCATGAATCACAACACACTTTTCATCCTGAAATATGAAACCATTACATTTTAAGTCTGACGCACTAATAAATAAGCTGTACAATTATTTCCTTCATTTAGGATGTCAGTTTTTGATGAAAGGCTTTTTTATTGGGGGGGAAGGAGGCTACATAATAGCTTATTCCTCTCATAAAAGGCACAGCGGCTAACATTCCTTCATATTAATAATTTCTACACTTTCTTGGAGAAAGCTGCAACAGCAAAATATACCAAAAGCAAGCAAATGATTGCACTAAGTTGTCTGTAAACAATCTCTGCAGTTTCATATAACACCAACATTTAAAAATATTATTTTTAACCCAAATAGGTGAGTAGGTTTTCAAAATGCAACCTACTGAACGATACTTTAGGAACATTTTAAAGGGAGATTCACCAGAAGGAAATGGAAATAGACTTCTACCCTTGAAAGATGAATAGATTTCCCTTATTGCCAGAAAAGTCATGGTGAGTACTAATTTACACAAAGTGAGGCCTTCCTTAGACCTCAAACTAGTGACAGGTGTGCTTGCTTACTAAAACGTATTCAGGGTTAGACCGCTAGTTATTCTAAACACTAAATCTAATCTACCACCCCTTTTCCTGGAGGACAGAACCCAAAGGCAGCTCCTTTGTCATTTGGGGGGCAGAAGAGGGGACAAATGAGCCACCTCTGAAGATGCCCCATTATGTATAATTGCGCTTCATTTTCTATGATGACTTTTCTGCCTGTGATTTCCCACATAGCTGAATGAAATCGCTTTAATGAGTAACAGTCATTTCCTTTCATTTCCTTTACATCACATACAGCAGCCACCCTATGGAAAAACAGCAGCTGCTACTGCCTACTGGGGTGGCTGCTACTCTTGAGGCTTTGCTGCATAAAAATGCTCAAAAACCAGCCTCACTCAGGCTGCTTCTCATCAGAAAGGTCCATTTTCTGCAAATACAGTCTACAATATTATATGCATGTTATAGCAAACAAAATGTTATAGAGATACTTCTCAAAACCCCTACCCAACCCCTAGGCACCCAGGCCTGTTTACATAGATATATATGAAGTGCTTCACAAACGTGCTTGTTATCCTTGCACAGGGGTCGTGCTGGTCTCTGTATCATTCCAATTGTAACATATGTGCTGCCAAAGTCCACACCCCTGTTGGCATCTTACTAAAATTATTCTGTCTTCCTACTAAAAACAAAATCCCTGTCAGCTTTTATCACCTTTCATCGTAATTTTAAAATCTCTTATATTTCTTTTGGTAAATAACACTGCAAGGAACATTGTATTTAAGAATCAAGATGCTGCTTTAGACGAAACAGCCAATAGAGGGCACTAAAGACCAATTATAGAACATGAGAAACGTACACTACGCGAGATAGTGTCTTCTGAAGGAATTTTTTTCCTCTTTATTTAAAAAGTTTATATTATTATACATGCTCTAATAGTGCCCGATATATTTGGTTCAACCTAATAATTTCTGAAAGTTGTACCCTACACCATTTTGGGGGGGGGGACAGAGTCCCACTTTGTCACCCAGGCTGCATTCTCACGCCTCAGCCACCTGAGTAGCTGACATTACAGGTGTGCACCGTCGCTCTCAGCTAATTTTTGTATTTTTAGTAGAGACAGCGTTTTGCCATATTGGTCAGGCTGGTCTCGAACTCCTGGCCTCAAGTGATCCATCCTCCTTGGCCTCCCAAAGTGCTAGAATTACAGGCACCCAGCCAGATCCTTACACCTTTTAAAAATATTATCATAAACTTGTCCTTTGTAGGGACATGGATGAATCTGGAAACCATCATTCTCAGCAAACCGACACAAGAACAGAAAACCAAACACTGCATGTACTCGCTCAGAGATGGGTGTTGAGCAATGAGAACACATGGACAAAGGGAAGGGAGCATCACACACTGGGGTCTGTTTGGGGGTGGCTAGGGGAGGGACAACGGTGGGTGGGGAGGTTGGGGAAAGATAACATGGGGAGAAATGCCAGATAGAGGTGACGGGGGATGGAGGCAGCAAACCGCCTTGCCATGTATGTACCTATGCAACAACCCTGCATGATCTGCACGTGTACCCCAGAACCTAAAGCATAATAAAATATATATATATTTATTATCAAACGCCTATAATTAATTAAGAACAGCAAACTTTCATTGGAATACTACACGTGAAGACAGGAGTATGGACCTGAATTCCACACCCTCTTACTCAGCTAGGAAATCCTGGTGAACCACGTAACTGCTCTGCCTCCTAAGTGAATCAAATCACCAAGCCAGACTGAAGAAAAGTGGATAAATGGATTTTTAAGGTTTCTTCAAGTGATGCTAATGTTTGACGTTTATTATGAACATAGGATGTTTTGATGTTGGGGAAATCCAAGTTGACAGACCCCTCTCCTCCTATATCCTCTGAGTGGCATCAGCACATACCCAAGCTTTTCCTTCTCCCCCTCACCCCTCCACTGAGTTGCTCACTAAGGCATGTCAGTTTGACCTTTTATCTCTTATCTCTTCTGATTCTTCCTTTCCATTTCCACTGCCACCGCCTTGGTTCAGCTTCTCGTTATTTCTGAGCAACTGCTATGGTTTGCTGATAGGTCTACCTGTGTCTAATCTTGTCCCCATGAGTCCATTTTCTACAGAGATAATAGAAACGTCTTTAAAAATAAAAAGGTGATCATTATTCCTC